TCTTTATGAATCTGATCCTGAAAAAAATACAGACCAGGTTCAGGGTTCCAAGCATTGGCCTCCCCATGCTCACCACAACCAAAGGCTGACCATAGACGAGTAGATATCTTCCTGAGGATGCAATACTTGGATGTGGTATGCCATATGGCCAAGAGCTTGAGGACACCTGGCCATCACTCCTATATAAGCTTGTTGGGCATTTGAATCCAAATGTATGACCATTACTATGGTGTCCCCTCCCACCGCCTTTTGTAGCTTACTGTCACCGCAGGTTTGGAAGAGGACAAATTGTCTGAAATGTCTTTGTATGCTGTAGTATTAACAGAACCTTCACTGGAAACGCCCTCCTACCCTCTCACGACCCGGCTCACAAGCGGCATTGCAATCCATCCCAAAGGAGTTCAGTGGGGTTGAGGTCAGGATTCTGTGGAGGACACTCAAGTTCCTCCACACCAAACTGGTCACACCATGTCTTTATGGCGCTGGCTTTGTACACAGGGGACAGTCATGGTGGAACAGAAAAGGGTCTTCACCAAAATGTCACCACAAGACTGGAAGAGGACAATTGTCTACAATGTCTATGATGGAGTATTAATAGAACCTTCACTGGAGACACCTGAGCTCCATCATTTGGAGGAGGGGGGTCCATGTACTTTTGCCCATTAAGTGAACTTTATTCCTTTGGATGGAAGGATTCCCTGAGCTATAACGAGAGCCTTTGACTCCCAAGGTCACTCATTATGGCTAGATAGAAACAGCAAGTTCATTGTAAAAAGTGCTTCAAAATGCAGCTCTGCGTGAAAAATCAACCCGTTTATGGCTTCCTCAACCCGCAAACAATGGAGCAAATAAAGGAAATGGACCAGTAATCAATGATGTTGCTGTTGAATCTGGCTTTATCTAAATCTGGCATGATAGCACACCATTGGTTTGCACAGTCACCATCTTAAACTTACTTCCTGTGCTTCCCCCCACCACCCCCACCACAACCACCACAATCCAGATCTTGGAGCACTCTCTCCAGCCTGGCCAGGTCTGAGCTCTGTTATATGATGGGGAGTGGGGACCTATAGCCCTAGGAACCTTTTTTATGAAGAATGTAAGAGGAGGAGCTCCAACTCATAGAAGTAGATGGGAACACCTAAAACTCTAAGGTGGACAGAGACACAGTAGAGGGTAACAGGAGGAACTGGATCTCATAAAAGTAGATGGGAGCACCTAAACCTCTAAAGGTGGGCAGAGACAGAGTAGAAGGTAACAGGAGGAGAAGGGAACACCCAAAAGTGGGCAGGAACATTCAAAAATCCAAAATAGACAGGAACAGAGTCAGGAAATATGGCAGGAAGATCTCACTTTTGGGGTATCTATATAGGTGAATATAAGAAGCCAGAGGTTTACTCAGCCCATCAGGCTCCACCTACAACCAAAATATAATTTTTGGGTGACCCTTCAATGTAAACTGTCTATAATTAGTACCATTTTGATTGGTTCATCACTATGAAAGGCATGTGTACTAGTCAATAGGAAAGCGCAGGAGGTGGGAGGTTTTGTGTGAGCTCTCTATGGGTCCATGTGTTGCTGTAACACGTTACATGCATTGGTGCAATGAGGTACCCTTAACTCTGAATGGCACCCCAAAGCACCATGCTGACAGACATGGGTTGCCGTGCCCAGCACTCCCATAATTAACGCATGTGTTATTTTTGGTTCATTGTGGTGTGTTTTGGGCACCATTCATATACGGGATGCCGGAACATGACGCTTTTAACACATGGCAGAAGACCAGGCTGGTGGGAATGTGCCCTTATCTCAAAGTTATCTGTTCAGTTCTGGCCAATTCCTTAAACTTTTGGATACATAGTAAGAATCTTTAACATTGTTTCACAAATAAGTGACATGCGTTTCACCCCAAATATACAGCAATCAGATCATTACTGACCATGATCAATACCTTCTAAACCTCCTCCAGGTCACATGATACAAAGAAGAAATGAGGCAAAAGACAACATACAGACAATCCAATATAACTAACACAAAGTACAAATACAATGTAACAATCTATAGGACAGTATTTGCATCTTGTACATCATTTTGCCACTTTATAGATCGCTGGTGCGGCCTCATCTGGAATATGTGGAACCAGTTTTGGTCACCAATCCACCGGAAGGACGTCCTTGAGCTGGAGAGCGTCCAGAGAGGGGAAACTAAGCTAATTAAGGGGCTGGAGGATCAAAGCTATGAGACAAGGTTGCTAAATTTAAACTTGTTCACGCTGGAAGTGATGACACTTAGGACAGGTTCAGATCTGGTCCAGAAAATGGTGTGAACCTGCCGTAGCTCCAGTGCATTCCAGACCAGACAAAATGAGACATGCAGTCATTTTCTGGTCTAGGTCTGGAATGGACTGCACTGGTGTGAACAGAGGCCAGAAATAGTATAGGGATACACTAGGATGCATTTTGGGTCCGGAAACAGTCTGGTCAGGTCTGGAGATGATCCGGGCATGGTGTGAATGGGCCCTAAGAGAAGATATGATTTTGATGTACAAGATGTTTGGTGGTGATGGCAACATCAGCAATAAACCTTTTACTGTAAACTCCCTAACAAGGACTAGAGGCCACCACCGAAAACTGGTGGAGAAAAGATTTATCCACAAAGGGGGGTAGGGGCTTCTTCTCAGTCAGAGCGGTTACATTTTGGAACTCGCTGCCACAAGCAGTGGTATCAGCAAAGAATATTAATTAGTTCAAAAATCATTTAGATCCCTTCCTTGGAGGCTGTAACATACAGTGGTACAGGTATTCTTAAATACTAGATCACACAGGGACTTGTATACACACACGCACACACAACATGCACACGCAAAGTTGTATCGGGCAAGGCATCGGAGCATTTGGGAAAGTACTCACCCATATACTCGGCATCGATACTTGTATCGGTATCAGTGCATCACTAGTGACAACACTGCTCCTCAATAGATACAGTAGGGTAAGTGAGCGTTGTCACCCGAGAACAAGCAGTGTATTATTGGCAGGATCACCAGGGGAGAATAAAGAAAAAAATACAATGCAGCCGCCACTTGAAAGGACTGGGGAGCTGCAATATGTTACATTTTTGGTTTTAGATACATTTTAAATAAAGTTTCCTGCAAAAGAAGACATATTTAGCTCACCTCTCTGGTGCTCTCGTAATAACTAAGCCAGGGGTAGGCAACCTTGGCACGAGGGACGGGGGGCATTTTCTTATGCTGTTAACAGTTATAAACAATTCAAAGAAATTTAAAAAGAAACAGGAACTCCATATGGTAACTCCTCCCCCGAGGAGCAGACCTGGACCACAACTCAGCTCCCAGAATGCAGCAGCAGCCTCCCTTACTTAAGCGGGCTGTGCAGTCTATCAGATGGAGTGTAGGGGGGCGGGGACAGACAAAAAACTGATCAGAGTGTCATGTCCGGGGCAGAACATTGCAACATTGTTGGAAGAAAATAAGTAAAGTAATAATTATTCTAATGTAAACGGTTCTTCCTGTTGGAAAACTTCTTAGAGGGCGACGGATGTGTATTTCAGGAGTTACATGATTATTATTATTATTATTATTATTGTAATGTTTACATGCTGGTCATTTTTTTATGTCACTTTCCCATAATTTCCTTCATAATAATAATTAGAGGTTGAGGGAGTTGCTAGACTGGGAGCCAATGAGGTGCTGGTAAAAGGAGAGGCCAGAGTGAGTAGGGAGGTGACCTTATAAGTCTTCCACTGCTCTTTCACTGCCCAGTCAGCAGACTAGTGGTGGACAGAGGCCGAGGACACCACTGTATTTCTTAACTAAAAGTGGTGTCATCCACCTGGCCATGCTGTGTGGTAGAGCTGTGTAAGTCTCGGGACTGGATGGAAAGAAACACAAATCCTTTGGCAGGTAAAGCAGCTCCCACATATGTAATTAATCCGTGGAGTTCAGCCTGTATGAGCAAATATGATTGCCTTCACGGTGGTAATTGAATTAGCTGTACACAGAAAGTACATCTTTAACAATAAAGAACATTGATAAGATTGACATGATCACATTCACATAGATGAGAGTATACGATGCTGGATTTCCATTCCATGCCTGGAAGATGGAAAGTGTTCATAGTTACATAGTACGGTATTTTGCGGTCCATAAGACGCACCGGACCATAGGACGCAGGGAGGTCCGGCGCGCCTTATGGAGCACTCGACAGACTGTAGCTTCTGTCACAGCTTCTATGACAGAAGCTGTGACAGAAGCTGCAGTTAGTGACTGCTGAGACAGGCGGATTTTGGTTTGTTTGGCATCAAATTGTTTTGTTTTTTCCCCTTCTGATTTAGAGATAAAATATGACAAACGCTTCTGAATAGAAAAAAAAAAAAAGGTATTTCTTGCCAGTAAAAGGCGGAAAGTACATTAAGTATCTAATACAACACAGAAAAAAAACATGTAGAAACATTCATCGGGTTTCCGGAAAATTCCAATAAACAAAGTCCAAACTTACTAAGAACATGGACAAAGCTTAAGCCGGGGAGTGGGGGGGGGAGGGGAGGGGCTAAGTTACGTAGAGATCAGAAATGAAGAAAAATGTACCGTTAAAGTTTTCTTTTTTTACAAAATAAATACCTCTCTACAAACCCGAAATTGCCACCCAAACGTTTCATAGTAACTTAAATGTTTCCTTTTACACGTCCTCAGGTTATGACCGGACAATTCACGTAGAGTTGTTGTCGCCGTCAATTTGTGAGGCTGAGTTCGTATTAGCAGCACTCGCTGTCTCTATGGCGGGAGAAAAACCAGAGTGACCCCTCCGCGAAAAAAATCCAGGGGGGGGGGGGGGGGGGGGTGGC